ACCTAGCCACCGGATCATAAAGTAGTTGAAGCCACATTTTCCTAATTTTACCATGAGGACATCATGGGAGACCCAGTCAAAGGCCTTTTTGACATCATATGCTTGAACTTCAAACCTCATTTCCCCTATCCAGGTGGTGAGTTATTTGTTGCTAGTTATTTATAATAGATCCTATTTTTCAAGCAGCTGAAATTCTCAAATACTGCTCTTGACAAGTTACTCAAATAACTAATAAATGGATCTTTTCAAATTCTTCAGGTCTCTCAATGAGTTATAGGAAGCAAGTTGTACAAGACACACAGAAGAGCACACATTTTTACTTACAAAAAATAAAATAAAAAAAAAATCTTAATTTCTCTCTCTAGAAAGAATTTGTTAAGAAAAAGTCTACTAATGCTTTGTCTTTTGAACAAGTAGTAACTAATTAGTCAGACAAAACAGAGTAGAATATATAATAACTGAACAGATATTTAGTTGTGCAATATTTTTCTAGAGGCAGAAAAGAAATTGCATACAATTTTGAGGCTATTTTTAACAAAACAGCATTTTCTTAAACCAAATTTAAAGTAAAATCTTTTTTTTTTTAAAAAAAAGCTATGATTATCTATGCAGCATCATTATACTATTTATTCTGGGATTGTGTTGCTCAAGGAATACCAGCCTTGAACATAGATTAAACTTTAATAGCCTAACATATGACATTTGATACTGCAACTCTTAAAACTGGCTTGCGTAACGTGCACTTCAAAAGCAAACCAATCAACAGAGTGTCATGCGCTTGTGAAGGGGTGTACCCGCTGGGTCAGACAGGAGCAAAGGCAATCCTATGCCAAGATTATGCTGTACACATTCCTTTCCAATCCATACTGCAGGGAAACACCTTCATCTCACAAAACTGCTTTTACTTAGCATCCAACCTCTTTCACATGTTCAGATGACTGTTTAAAGAAATACTTGTTAAAAGCAAACTACAAAACAGTAGAGAAAGCAGCTTAATATATCTGATGCGATTTAAAAGCAAAAACACACAACCAACCCGAATATTTTTTTTCCTGATTGGATAGTTAAAAAGTACCTACTATTGGAGAGCTGTCAATCTTGATACCTTTTCACCAGCATTTTTTTTTTTGCCCACTGGTACAACACTGGCAGCAGCAATGCAAGACTCCATGTGCCGTCTTGCCAAGACCGTGTGCACCAAATATAGAGAGCTTACCAGCAGCAGAGGTAAGAGGACAATTTAATGTCCAAGGCTCGGTTGCTTTTTGGTCCCTCTGCTCAGGCTTCCACAGGGGATGCTGATTGCATGAAGACACTTCCCTGGGACTTGCTGTACATCTGGATACCAGGCTGCCCCACAGCACATAGGCTGGAGCTAGCACTGCATGCAGCACAAAGGGTCTGAGGCTGGGTTGCATGCTTCCTGGGCTGTATGCAGCACATGCAGGATGGGGACTGGTGCAGTGAGTCAGTTCAGCGATCCATGGGCTGAATTACATGGCTCCCCAGGTTGGATGGAGCCTGTGGGCCATCTGTCTGACACCCCGGATTGAACTCAACACCCAAGAGCAACCTTCTCCAATGGTAGAGCTGTTTTATAAATTAGACTGGGCTTAATTTATCTCTGATGTAGCTAACTCCGTGGATGTGTTACATCAAGAATAGTCCATTATCACTGCTAAGATATCAACTTCCAAAGCACACCCTACTGAACAACACTGGAAGATTTACTCGCCATTCTAGAACCAGGAGTCTGCTCCAGTTTCCACTTATGCATAACATGAAGTAACTGGAGTAAAAGCCCTTTTATACCAAGTGATAAAGACCATATACTTGCCAGGATTCTTGGGTCTAAAGAGCCAAGCTCAAGATCATATCACAAAATTGTTTTGTGATACCTGTGGTGGAAGCTCTATGAGTGGTTTTGTACAAAATGAGCTGAACAGAGTAGATTAGTCATGAAAATCCAGACAGAAAAATAACAAACTCCAAAGCCACTGCTGTCAAGTCTGTGCACTCCTTTCCATATAAATTCAGTGGCAGCAAACCAGTAATGTATTTCAAAGTGTTTTTGGTAGTGCATCCAATTAAATTCCAATGTTTTACTTATACAATCCTCAAGACATTCCCACGGCACTCAATATCAAACAAAGCAAAATATACACAGAAGGTAAATACTACATAAAATTCAAAGGAGATACATTTATTTCACATACGCTCACTAGGATATAAAAATCCTGTTCCAAACATTTTCTACTTCCCCTGGATATTTCATCCTCTCATTTTTTTGGAGTGACTACTAGATGATCAAGACTTTCTTTAACATTAGTTTGTCTGTACCCTACCAGGCGCGGCTGATGAATTCAGACTGGTGGGGCAGTGGAGGGGTTTGCAGCTGGCCGGCAGCAGGGCAGAGTGGGGCGGTTTGCAGCCTCCCCGCTAACAGCCAGCTGCAAACCACCCCTCCTCTCCATTCCCAGCCAGCTTCAGCGTCCCTGCCACTCCAGTGGGATGCTCTACCACCCCACCAGTCTGAGTTTACCAGCCATGCCTATACCCTACATACTTAGCTAGATTCATCTTTATCGTTCTCTCCTGCTACCTACTGTAGAAAAAGAGCCATGAGCAAAATAGTAACACCAAGTTAATTATTTCTTCTCATTGCTACTGTAACTTGCCTTTGCTTTCTGTACAGTGGATCCAAGATCAGTTATCCACACAGTGCACAATGCAGAACGGTCAGCCCATTCAGATTACAGCTGTCACTGATTTCTTGTCTTGCCTTGCTTCCCGCAAGTCAACCTCTCTATACCCATTCACTCGCCTGTAAAAATCAAGAAAAACATGACTTTCTGATAGGATAGGTGAGAGAATTAATAGCTTTACAAAACTGCTGTTATTAGGTCTTTCAGTGTTCGGAGTTCTTCAACTGGTTACATTTTGATCATACTCCAAGCTTCTTATGGGGAAAAAAGAGAATACGTATTTCCAGTTTGTATTTCTGTTCTAACTACTTAGTATAGTTTCTAAACCATATCTCATAATATACATATATATTTAATCTGTTGTCAGTGCTTTACCTTCTCAAAGCCGCAAACAAGTATTCTAGCAACTTTTTAAGATCTAAAATGAGATTGTTTCTCCTAGTACCACAAAGGTTATGTAACCTGGTCTGACAGTATTTTATTCTGTGTCAAATGTTCTTTAATAACTCATCATTTACTTTTTTTATTTGGACAGGCCATGCCTTCAGTCTTCTCTATGCTCATTCTGATTTTATTATTGTTTCAAAGATGACTGTGATATTTAAAAAAGAAAACCTTAATTTATTAAGGTCCTGCTCCCATTCTCCAATTACTTAGTGTAGGGGATAAGGTTTTGACAAGATTGCCTCACCAGCCTACATAGTACAGTTAAGCTTCTGTCCTATCCAGAATCAGAATAGCTCTTTTTGGTGGATTTAAATCAGACCTTTAAAAATGAAAAATTCAGTCATTATTAATATTTTAGTAATAAAATGCAGTTAAAATTATTAGAGTGAATCCGATTATTACTTGCCCCTTTCAAGGCAAGAGGATAACATGCCAACAGTATAACAGTACTTTAAAAACACAGTTAACATAGTCAGACTCTTTTAATCTGTGGGAGAACACTAAAATCCATTTCACACCCCCCCCAAAAATGGCATACTTGCACTGAAACTTAATACAGGCTCAGTAAATGGCATCTAAAATATGGATGCCAGAAAAGCCAAGACATTTTACATCAAAATATAAAGAGATCATAATTACACGTCTAAGTTATATATGGTAAAAACACACTACAGTATATTTCTTGAAAGTGCTCCTTTAGAAAAAATGCCATTTGTCTTTTTTCTTTTATATTTGAGGCCAAGTTCCCTTTGTTACATATTTTACTAGGTATCTATGTGCATAGACGCTTCATGATGTCATGACCTAGGAATTAAAGCCCCAAATAATGAAGGCATCTTTACCCTTCCAATAGGTAGAGGTGTTAGAAAGCTTCAAAAATGAATGTTTACGATGCCTCGGCATTCTGAATACCTGCCCGACTTCAGCTGGATAAAATTAAACCTGAGCAAAATGGAAGTAATGAGCAGGGGAAAAAGCGTGCCTCTTCCTTAATATGCCCTAAAGTAAAGAGCATCTGATCAGACTCTTGATCAGAGACACATCAGTTTGTATTCTTAGAATATATTTAGACGCTTCCGTTCTACTGTACAGGGAAGCTGCCACAGCAATGGAAACTGCTCGTTTCCATCTGTAGCTGGCCAAACTACATCCTATGGACCTTGGTATAGTAGTCCCATCACTGTAAAAGATGGAACCATTATACCTTAATGATGGTTCATTTGATTTGAAGCATGGCAAGTAATCTACTGAGCATTACAGATCATCATGAGCATATCAATCCAGCACTTCCCTTTTTGCCCCAGCAAACCTTAAGTAGAGTTGAAATTCAAGGACTACCTTTCCCTTCAGACCAGGAACTCTTTACACAGCTGTGTTCCCCATAAACAAGTACACTGTCATCCAGTACTACAAGATCTATAATCAGAGAATACAGAACTTTGTCAGGAACTGGATCAAAATCATGTAGTTCATACCCGAATACAGGCCTGTAAAACCTGAGTAAGCAGGTGCTACTTAGATAGTAATTGACTTAACTGAAAAAGACAGAAATTAGGCTTTGGAAAGTGATGCCAAGGTTCTTAGGAGACTGGTATTATCATCCTTTGGAAGTGATCACTGAAGTGTGATGCACATAAGAAAAGTGGGAAATTTTGAGGGCTCCAGCTAGGATACAATTGATCCTATGGTTTGAAGTAAAAGAATCAAGAATACTCAGCATACCTTTAATGCAGTACATGCATCTCAACATGGGGTACTCAGTAATTTCCTGTTCACCTGCATGGTCAAAGATTGCTCCAGTTATTTCCTAACAAAAAAATAGCTATTTTCCACAAGAGTCTTGGTGAGTTATTTTCAGTTAAAATCAGTTTAATGGATTTCTGTAAGCTGTAGTATTTCAGCAGCAAATCAAAAGTGGTCAACTGTTTTTGGATACAGTGAAAGATAGAGATAACATGACTACATAACCAATATATTTAGTTTCTTTGCTGGCTTCCAAACATAAGTAAGCAATGAAGATTACAAGTAGGCTGCCATGACCAATAGCTAGAATGAAAAAGTATCTTTTGCACAAATCAGTAAGTCTGACTACAAACTTACTGAATCACTTGATATCCCAGACACTTACTGTAACCTCCCACACACAAATTATTCTTACCATGCTTCCTAGTTCAGAAATCAATGTGCTATTTTAGGTGTAGATTTTTAGTAATAGATGATTAGTAGGGGGAAAAAATTCCACTTATTTGTAAATAAAGTCAGTGCAGTCACAACTTTTCAATACTCTTCATTCATGCCAGTTCACTAGTGCAGGGGTTTTCATACTTTTTAAGGAGTGTACCCCTGCTGGAGTGTACCCCTGCCAGATGGCAGGGGGAAAGAAGGGTGCTGACGGCACGGCTGGCCGGCCACGAAGACAGTGGCACACAGTGGTGAATGGCAGGGGGTGGGGAAGCAGTGCGCAGAGACGGCACAGTGGTGGATGGTGGTGGCAGGGAGTTTGCACACAGCAGCAACTGCTGCCATTCACCACCACGCACCACTTCCCTGCACCGCCACGCGTACCCCCTGGGGCCGTCCCAAGTACCCCGGGGTAAGTGTACCCCTGGTTGACAACCCCTGCACTAGAGGTGCTCCACCAAGCTGTAGATTGATGCAAGTTTGTTTTCTGGCCTTTTTCATTTGCTCATTGGGCAGTTGCCCTCTGAATGGCAGTTTGCTCAGCTTGCATGCCTGTGCAGGGGATGAAAGTGGAAATAAGAATAATGATTTTCATTAAAAAAGAGCAACTTCACCTATGGGATGTGAAGCAGCCACAAGACTGAGTATAATCCCATCTAGTACTACAGAGAAAAGGGCAAAGGGGGGAAAACTGGCACACTGGGAATCCTGCTGACTCCGACCAGTCTTGCCAGATTCTTCAGGTCTTCTATATTATTTACATGTACACAATGCTATTTAAAACAGCAGCTGCATCTACATATTGCTCCTCACTCGGTCCTGTTGGGAGGAGACGACACAGAAGGGGGAACATTTCCTCTTTTGTATTGTTATTTTATTTTGTAGTAAGATCCATGTATTATATAAAATATAACAGGAAAAGTGAACAAGTCTATAAAATAAATCGAGTCTAGATGACAAACCACTACAGCTCTGCTTTCATGGTTTATGATGATGTCACTAGCACTCTCATGTACTGATAACCTTGAACTTTACAATTATCTAGTGCATGAACCTACATAAAAAGCTGATATGTCTCAATTAAGCCATAGTTAAATGATATATTTAGAGAAAGATGGCTTTCATAAGCCACAGCTGCCTTTGATACAGGTTGCAATGATGTCCAACTATACTATAATGCACATTACATCAAGAACCTTGAAGAGCCTCTGGCGGAGGGATTCACATTTAGCATTTTGAAGGAAGGTTCAGAAAATACTACACTGCACCAATGGTACCTCCATATCCTGCGTAAGCCTGAAGAAGGTTTGTTGTTTTTAATATGCTACTACAACCATGGCACCAAACCTAGATAGAGGTAGGTTATAGGCAAAGGTAAAAATCCCTTCAGAATTAGTGGCATTGCACAAACTGCCCAGCAGGAGGCCAAGGCAATGTGACAATGACCCCTTCCTCTCATATTGAACTAATTCATAACCATTCTTAATTTCTAGTGCCCTGGAGAACAACAGCTGTTAGGAGCTGCAGTCATGACACTGGAACAAAGTCTCAAAAGCCTGCTAAGCAAAAGTATGTTACTGTGCAAATGGATGCATCACACTATTACCAACTAGACCTTCCAGTTCAGGAACCGATGGACATAGCTCTTCTGGATGGTAAGAGCTAATCTTCTCACATGCGCAAGAAACATTCTGAGGATATATACCCAAATGATCAAGAGGAGAACACACCACTATCAATGCAAAAGGGGTTGAATGAAGGTCAACTATATAAAACAGACTCCACATGAAGGCTGATGGACTTGGCTAAGGTTAAAAAGGGGAAGAGAAGGGGGGGGGAAAAGGTTGAGACATGAACTTTAAGGAAGAAAGCACACTTTTTTAGGACCAATTTTAAAAAATGTTAACATACCAAACAGGCTTATAAATATCCTGTCTTTGGTATCACTTGGTATCAATATAAGGTTGATAACAAATAGCATGGATACATTTTCAACATGGAAAAGAAACATATTTGCAAATACAATAGTTAACAGCAAATTAACCCGAAGTTTAATGGCAAAAATGCCTTCAGTTCATGAAATATGGACAAATAAGACTTTCACTATTTTTCCGTGCACTAGTTGGAGAAAATAAAAAAATAACAATGTTGAAGATCCATTTTATTTCTACTTCTGAGGGAGAAGGGAAAAAGTTAAATAGAACTGTTCTCCAATTTGTTCTCTACTATATGTACATCCACACACATACACACACGCACATGCACACACTCCTCAAACTACACTGACATTTTTTTTTTGACCAAAAGAAGAGATCCTGGGAGTAAGTGCAAAATGCAAAAATCAACTGACAGAAAATGCTGAACAAACAGCATCATTAAAATACAAAATATTTATATTACTGAACTATTAACAGATGATGTTCTCTGTTTCTTTAAAACTTTGGAACCACATAGCTGATTTCTTAAATCTAGTCCATGCCAGCTTCCAGAACTATTAATGATTTAATTAGCTTCATTCTTTGATGCTTCATCAAAGTTTTCTACGAGATCTGAAAGAGATGGAAATATTAAATACAGTTATTTTCCAGTAACACTGTCTTTATATTTTACAGAAACTATCCAATATAAGAGCTCAGTTATTAATTCTACTTTGTATGTACACAGCTTTTTCTACCTGCAGATTTCAAAAGGCTTTACAGAAGTGATGCCATTTGTGTGGAGACACAATGTGACACACAGGAAAGTGAAGAACTAAATTTGTTGAATCTCTACTAAGTTGCTGCTCCATAGAAGACGCCCAGGATCTTTCTGACTTCAGTTGGGTTTCAGGTAACAAATATTTAAAACAGCAAATAAAAAAAATGGTCTTCTAGTGGTCTCAATGAAAGAAGTGTACTCAATACAAGTGGAAACCTTTGAATAGGCCTATGCAACTTACCCATGGTAAAGCAAGTCAATGAAGAGCCATAGAGAGCACTCAGGTCTCCTATCTACACTGTTACAGAACACTTGGATACATACAAAAGAATGTGATATCACTAACCATATGTTGAAAATTAACCATAAATTAACCAGGTACAACAATTATCTCAAACAAACAATGCAGAGGCATAGCAAGCTCCTGCAATGCCCTGGGCAGAGTGCAGACCACTGGAGCAGGGGGGAGGAAAGGAAGGGTACCCTGCTCTCTCTGCACTCAGGCGGTAGTTGCTGCAGTCATCGTAGTACAGGAACAGGCTGCTACAGCCATATAGCCAGGGCACTGCACACCAGCTGCAGCAGGTGTACCTGAATGCAACCACCCTGCAAGTCTTTGCTACAGAGGTGCAGCTCCATGCTTCCCAACCACAGAAGCCAGGCAACTGTACCATGTGTGTGTGTGTGGGTGGGTGGGAAAGAAAACAGAGGGAAGCAGAATGGTGGCTCCCCACAAGAATTTTTGCGAGGGACCCAAATCCTTGGGTGGAGGCAGGGCACACCATTTTGGTCCCCCCCACGCCACCATACACTACAGGACACAGGGTTGCTCAGCTTCTATGGCTGACAGCAGAGGTCTAAACCTGCAAAGCAGAGACTCATCAGGGGACAATTTTGGTGCTCCCCTCAAGTCAGCGCATGGAGCTGGTAACCCACTCACCTCCCTTAGTTAGTTATGGGACTGGAAAAATGCTATGAATAAATGGCATCTGAGTATCAGGTCCCCAATAAAAAAAAATAAATAAATAAAAAAATCAAAAAAATCCTACTTTTTCTTTCCAATAAAGGTCCAAACTTGGTAGTAGGGAGAAACTCGTTTTCCTCTATTACAGCAACAAGTATTCATTTAAACAAATCACGAGCTGAAAAGTATGCACTATCACTTCTAAATATTCATCTGTCTTGCTGCATCAAGAAACCACTGTGCAAATGTTATTCAGCCAATCCTCTCAACTGCTACTCAAGTATTTATGCCTAGTTACAGATAATAAGGCAGAGTAGAGATGTGATTTGCTCAAGGGCACACAGCAGCTGAAATTCAAGCTTTTCTTTTCTCTGTTTCACCTTTATTCCATTACACCAAGCTGTTTTTCTAGATGAAGGGTATTGCTGTACCAAAAGTCAAATGGAAATATCTACTGAAATAGTATATAATTTAAAAATGAAGAAAGAAGTGGGTTAGCAAGCTTACCTGGGACATCATCATCTTCTTCATCAATGTCTTCAGATTTTGGTGCTTTGCTATCCAACACTGTAAAAGAAAGCCTTGTACTGAGCATATGAACTAATATGTAGATAGTCCTACAAACACAACAGTCCTACACAACCACCCACAAAGCTATTATTTACAGATTAAATAGGAAGTGTACATTTTCTGGCAAACGTTATAAATATACACACACTCTAAAAGAAATGCTTAGATGGGGTTAATACAGAGGAACTATGCAACCAGGAAAGGCTCAGCGCACAATCTGATGTAAATCTCTAGAACACTGCTACAGTTAAAAGAAGTGAGTAATTTGAAAAACTAGGATGCAAAAGCCAGCGTTTCCATTCAGGGGTGCAAGATGCTTGTCATTTCTAAGAGCTGGTGCCTTCACCATACAGCATAGCTGGCAAAACTGCCAAAGCGTAGACCCTACATAATTGAGCCCCGCCACCCTGTTATTCCCATGAAATTGGCGATATCTTAATAATAGGGGTGTACTGATAGAGATTTTTGGGGCCAGTATACTGATAGGCCATTTTTAAGAAGGGATACTGGCTGATACCCATCCAATTTCTGATATCAGCTCAGGAGCTTGGAGAGCTGCATGCAGCTGGTAAGTCTGGTGTGGTGGAAGGGGAGGGGGAGGGAAGAAAAGGGGCGTGGGGGGGGACGGGGACGGACAACACAGATCAAGGCTCCCATAGTGAGGAAGGAGTGGGGCAGGGGCAAGTGCTGTCCAGCCAGAGCAGAGCAGGAGGGGATAGCTCCCGCTGCTGGACGCTGCTCACCCAGGAGCTGCTCATATGGCGGCTCATCCAGCACTCATCCACTTATCTGGCAGCTCCCCCCGCAGCTCCCACACTTATCTAGGAGGGTGTGTTCCTGGATCTGTGCAGATAATTTTCTTTATATCAGTACTGATCCGATACTGGGCCGATATATCAGTGCACCTCTACTTAAGTCTGCCGAATGTGGGCTGGAGTCAACAACTTGTGTATTAAAACTGACCTATTATTCCATTTTGAAGTTCCAAAAGAACTGGATAGTTCATAGATGTTAGGAACAGAAGGGACCTCAGTAGGTCATTGAACTACTGCTACCAATAAATAACTGCCTTCAAATAAATTCTGGGTTCTTATAATACACACAGTTACTTTCCTAAAGTAGCTGGGTTCTACCGAGGGTGGCTCAACAGAAATCAGAACAAATATTAGGTACTGTATGAAGTTCCATTTCATAGCCACATTTTTCTGCTTGCTTCACAGATTGTTCAACATGTTAAACAGTAAAAACTAAAAACAAAAGTTTGAAATTAATCTCCCTGCTCACAGGGGTGTTTCAACACAGATGCATGGTTTCAGCAATAGGGAGCCTGAAATGGCTCAAATGATAAACACTAATACTCCAAGTTATAAAATAATGGGACAACCCTTTACATAGCACACAACAGCACTGCGTATGATACAGAATTAAGCAGCTGACTCTGTATGTTCAGCCGTGGTTTTTCAGGCTTAAAACATTAACACACAATACAGGAAAAGTAACTCTTCATTTACACCTGACCTTAAGTTTATAGCTAAGTTGGCAACTACCATATTTACTCAAATATAAGACTACCCTCCCAAAATTGGATTCTATATATGGAAATTTGTAAATTTGTTACAATTTTCCAGGTATAGAATCTAATTATTAGAGGTTAACCTTGAATTTGTCCCCTTCTCACTGCTACAATAAAAATAAATCTAGGGGGTCATAAAGCCCCCTTGCACTGTGCCTCCCTCCTCAACTTCTCCCTACAGTCCTCTTCCTCCTTACTGGCAGACCCCATGTGCTCAGGGAGAGCGGAAGTAAGGAGCAAATTTAAATACAGTGACCTTGAAATAAACACAGTACCCATACACATCTCCTCCAGAATTGATGCAATTTACCTTTCTTGAAATTACTGCAGCGTTTAGCACAGGTAACTCCATACACACTTGTAAGCAGCACTTTGGCATCTACTTGTATGTAACAAATTATACATGATATTAGCCCAAAGCCAAAAGGCTCCTGATTTACCATATGGTTCATTGGGGTGGGCCCCAGCAGTCAACAGTATTTCAGCTCGGCATGCGTGTACACCAGACACCCCCACAATGGATCCATGTGCCAATTAGCACCCCCCCCACTCATGACTGGAACTAGTGTTCTTGTCTTATACTGGGTGTTCTTGTCTTGTTCAGATGGGCTGTACTAACCTATCCTTGTGGTAGGTTCCTATCAGCATGTTTGCACAATATGGGCCATGTGTTCTAGAGTCATGCTCAATGTTGACTACATTTAAATCAACTTCCTAGTTAGTTTCCATTACTGAGCACATGCTGCTTTTGGCAGCAGTTTAATGATAAACAGTGTATTTAGTGAGGTGTCCTTTTCCCCGGTGCTGATTTGGGGAGGGGGGAAACCCCCCCCACAAAAAAACCCTTTGTCTTGTATTCAAGTAAATATGGTAATACAAAAGTTCAAAATTGGCCAACTTCTCAGACATCAGATGCATTACCCAAGCAGTTCCTACTCTCACACCCTCCCAATATTCCACCTGTGATACTGCTACATACACCACAACTAATACTACACATTCAGTTACAACTAAGCTTTTGCACCATGTTACCAACATATCACAGCTCCAAACATTTTATAAAAGTTACCAAATGTTGACACCAGATATGCAAAAAAAAAAGTTAATGCAACCTCAACACTGAATTAGGCAAGGGAAAGTCTAAAATGTTTTGTTGCTCTGAACTGCAGCTTGAGGGCTCCCGTTATGAATGAGCGCACGTGTGTGTGTGTAAGGTGGGTAGGGGTATTTTATACAAACACAGAATATTTCAAACTGAACTTCTTAAAAAGCCCTGGTTCATATCTTCAGGCAAAATTGAAATTACAACTACATTTTATGTATTTTTAAGTAGTGAAAACAAAATTTCATAAGAGTCTTCTAAACTTGTCTCTAATAATCTCTATATTAAAATATGACTTCTTAAAAACATTATTTCTAAAAATATCAATTGTTTAGTTCATCTTTTATGAAAAATTAATCTTTGCTAACACATAGGAAGAACTCGTTCAAAAACGAAAGCACTTGTGCTCTGCAAGGAAAACCTTCTAGGTTCAAGATCAGACTTCTACGTTTGGTGATCTTTATCTGTTTTGAGGAAGGGGTTTTTCCAAGTAAATGATGCTCAACAGGCCTGTTGGAAGATTCTTTTAAAGGTGCCATAGGGTGCTGCACAATATTAGCACATGGTTATGTACACCTACACGATTTATGTGACAAACCCAGAGATTTCAAACAGGAATCTGTAGCGTCAGAAACAGAAAGACCACAACAGGTCAGAATGAGTTATTTGCAAAAAGCATCACTACCATTTTTCCACAATTGAAAAAATTATTTAAATTTGTTTTTTTTTCTTTAAATTGGGGGGAGCACCGAATTCAGAAAGGTTAAGAAGGGGGGGCCTGGAGTCTAAAATGGTTAAGAATCACTGTTCTAGATGATGCATGGAGGTCCTTTCCAGCTCAACTTTTAATAGTTCTTCCCTAAATTTCATTCTCTCTTTATAGTTGCAACTAATTTTTTATTTTGGTCTACAGAATTTCTGTTGAAACATTTAAAGAAAATTTCATTAAGTGTCAGTTTATTATATAAAAAAAGCTGGTATCATTCTAGGTATTTAGATTTAATTCCATATTCCTGAAATAGAACACAACCCAAGCTACGACATTCTGCACCCAATATTGCAAAGTACTGTTTAAAACAATGATTCTCAACCTTTTTAGATTTAGGGTACCCTTCTGTATCTCTTCTGCATTTAGCACTGTTCCAGTTGAGAACCACTGTTGCACTGCCTCAGATTATCTCAATGGTTCTCAACTGGGATGCACCACTGCTGCCATCATGTCCTATGCACCTCCTCCAGAGAAGGATGGGAAACAGCCTGCAGCAGTGCTCTTGCCTATAGTGGAGTTATCTGAGAAACCTAAAGTAAGCAGGAGAACCCACTCATGCTGCAATCCTTCCCAGTCTGACTTCAAGCACTTTTCACAGACAGTTAAACCTGACCCTAAGGACCTGGCCACTAATCTGGCTCCACAGGAGGCACACAGGGTAGTTGCACCTGGCTGCAGCACCCACACCACAGCATCTCTGAAAGGGTCCTGGCAGCACCCTAGTTGAGAACCACTAGTTAATATTTTTGGCAGTATTGTGTTTAATGTGCCCAACTTTATCTAAAGATAAAATCAGTTTTAATCACATTTTGTGGCCACTATACAACAGAAGCTTGAAACAGATACCACTGTCCCAAAGTTACAATACTAAGTGAACAGCAAGGTAGAGTCCAAGAGTGCAATATTTTGCAATTTGGGAATTGAACAAAAAGCAAATGATTTTGGAATTTTAAGAAGTCAAACACAAAAATCTGTAAGTACAACAAGAACTGCAATGTTGACTGAACAAATTTAAGTGGCCCACAAGAAGATTAATGAAGTGTTAAGTGTACTGAACTGATACTTAGTTTTAGACTCTATACTATTTACAAAATTAAATATAATTATCTGAAAACTACATTGTGTAAGAAAACAGTATAAGAAGAACAGTTTACTCTGTAAATAGTTTGAGTAATATATTAAATTTAAGTTATTTAAAGTATTAAGCCAAGTGTAAAAAAAAAAAAAACCCCAAAATTCAAGAAGCTCTAAATGACTGTCAGTCTTTAAGTCTCTTCTGAAAATAAGACTTGTCTTATTTTAGGCAAGGCAAGACTTGTCTTAGGCAAGTCACATTTCATAAATGCCTATGTGACTTGCCTAAGTCACATAGGCATTTATGAAAAATTTACCCCAACACTTTTTTTCCAAGAGAATTAAGTTTACTTAAAAAAAAACAACCCTTTAATAAAACTTTGCAAACAAGAACCCCTACCTGGTCTTGGGAACTGTTCCGCTAACTTCCTGAGACTTGTTAAGCTGTCAGCACCAAGCTGGCTTAAGATGCCTGGAAGCATTTCTGTGATCGGTTTAGCTTCTGCATGACCAGTAATTGCAAAAGTGTTCGCAGAAAGGGAAGCCTGGACCTTGGGGTTGTTGAAATGAATAACTGTTCCATCATCTTTTATCATATTCACCTGTTTAAATATAGAATATTTAGTACATTTCATATATTTTCCTCAAAATGCTTTAATTTCTCTTGTCAATACAAAAGCCACAAGCTAGCATTGCTTTTTTGTTTTTATGATAGTAGTAGTTGGACAAACATGCAAATAAGCAATGGATTGCCAAGTCTTTTTATGTTTTTACATAGACACAACAGTATTTTTAATCACGAATTAACCTGCTAAAGAGAACAACTATATATAATCATCATGCTCCAGGGCTTAAGGTAACTATCACTAGTCAAAAAAACCCAAACTCTTTAGTCTACACGATACAGGTTTGCAAGCCTTGGCTGTAGTACTGCAATTTGATGGACGCAGGTGAACCAGTATATCTGCAAAGTCTACTGAAGCTAAGAAAGGAAGCCATGAGGGTGCAGGGACCTGCACAAGCACAGCACACTGCAGGGTAGAGCTTGGGGGCAAAAGGTTCTCAAAGCCTTTCATCAAACATGCTACTGAAGTCAACTTGGGTTTACTCATGTGCAACAATTAGCTAGACCATGTGGCAGGAGCCAGCAATGCCCAGATATGAACTGTTCTGGGTAACCGAAGGAAGTATCTGTCAAGTTTTGTCTGTACCTTAAGACTGAGTCTCTAGAGAAGGAGGAGGAACAAGAACTGTGTTTTCCTTTGTGTCCTGTACTACACAGAACATGCTGATCATGCTTAAATAGAAGAATTAGGGTAAATTCAGATTCCTCCACATGCTTACACATTCAACTTAACCATTATATTTCTTCAGCTAAATGTAATGCAGTAACATTTAGTTTAAGCAGAACAGAAACCCCTCCACCCCCTAACACATTATCTCAGAGCTCTCTTCAACTCTACACAACAGATCAGGTCAATTTTATAAGGAAAGTCAAAACAAGAGTGTCCCAGAGCTGTTTCTAAAGTGAAAGATTTGTATTTAAAAAGAAAGATCATTCAATAGAACTGCAACAATTCCATCACTGTCTTGCTGGGATTTTAACTTGAGTAAGGACACTGCTTACTTAGTGTCTTTGCAAGTGCTAAAAAAGGTATCAGCCTTATGCAAATGTTACAGTTCTTTGTGTTTCTGCGTAAGTGGACAGAAGCCAACCTTGCAGTACAGAAAGATTTGTACTGGGTTAACCTTATAGATTACAATGTCTTCTTTTATATTTTGAAGAGTATCACACACCCTGTTAGTTCTAACAAATCATTTTAATGGAACATCCACAAAAGTTTCACTAATCAAGTTCAGACAAATCATTATTAAAAAGTCCTAAGACATTTTCTTTTGCAGCCGTTTCTCAAGTATATGCAAGTCAGGCAGCCTGTTGGCTTCTACCACCTACAATTATTTAAAGAGACAAAGATGGAAAGGCTCCTTCAGGAGAACCTCTCCTACGTCAGCAGAAATCACCAATACTAAACTCAGAGGACATCAGAACGTGGCTCAATATTTCTTAGCATCTCACCATGAGGTGCAGGGACCTTGCCAAAGTTTTAAATTTTTTCTAGCGAGTAGTTTGAACTGGTCAAATAATCTGTTAAATCACTATACCTCTTCGATGCCAGCAATATTATTTACGGCCAATTTTTTGAGTGAACTCTGAAGTTTTTTGTCATCAGCTGTTGCTGTTCTGTGCACCACCTTCTTCTTTCTGCGAGCCGTACCCTAAAAAAAATTAGGCAATGCAAGAAACATTAGTCAGCTACTCTGAAGACTTGACAGTTGTAGTCACATGCACCTATCACTTCAACTAACTCAATTCCACAAAAGAAACTGCTAAGTATTACACCCATGTTATCAGAACAGCCCAGAAATCCTGGACTGACAACCTGGCCGAGTTTTGTGAGATTTAAAGCAAACAAGAAATTGAGCAAGTCTCACCCAACAAACACACATTACACTAGAATTTTAGAATTACATCGCCCAGCTATGCTCCATCTGCCTACAGTACTTAGAAGCTCCAATGTCAGGAAGCTCATCCAGTTTATACATTTCCCCACCCCATATAGAAGGCTGCTTCTTTACCTTCAGGAATTTTTTAAAAAGCATAATAAATTAACTGGAGATACTGATCCATTTGATTTTTTTTCCTTTTGCTACATTTGCTGTCTTTACTACTTGGTGTTTTATACTAAGAGGAAATGAAAAAAAGTGAAAAAGAAGTTCGCTTATATTTTTTACTATGAGGAAATGAAAGAAAGTGGGAAAAGAGTTTATTTTTTCCATTGAAAAAGCACACATTCAAACTGCAACTCAAGAAGAAACCTTTAAGTCAGTTAAATTGTAAGGCACCATTAGAAGGAGCAAAACATCCTTCCTATTTTACAATGCTTATATGCTGCAAATTCCCACACAGTGAAGTGCCTCTGTGTTCAGGATTTAAAGTGCTATTCTTAGGGCTTTTCTATTTTACAGAGCCACAGCCATTGTAGCTGTGCCAGCATAGCTACACCATCATCTGAATGAAGTAGGACAAACCAACAAAAGCCCTTTTCTGTTGGTATAGCTATGTTCACCCCAGGGGTTTACCAGAACAGTCAAATAAGCTAGTGGGTATGATGTAGCTATGCTGGTAAAATTTTGTAGTGGAGACCAGACCCAAGAAAGGATTAAGTCTTCAGACAGATGCATCTATGCACTGGAACAATCCATCCATTTGGGTCCATTCTGAAAAAGTTACTTTCCAGCAGCCAAAGTGCTACAATTAGAATTGTAACAGCATTATTTTAGGTCCCCAAAATATACAGCAAGGATTTACCTATGCACAAAAGTTAGTTCAGATTCAGGCACTGCCTCAATTAAATTGCAATAGATGAGTGCCTGTGCATGGGGTTATTCAAGAAGAGATTCATAGATCTTAAGGTCAAGAAAGATCATCCAGGCAGACTGTGATCATCCAGTCTGGTGGTTCCCATATGGTGATCTATAACACTATAATAAGTGATCTGTAACAGGTCCTCCTTTTTGATTAGGGTACATAGTGGGTCTTAAGAAAGTAAGGGTCAGCAGCACCCCAATAGTTCAAAAACTGAGAGAACCACTGACCCAGTCTGACCTCTTCTGTAACACAAGCTGCAGCACCTGCCTGAATTAATTCACATTTGATTTAGGTCACCAGGGTTAGAAATAACTGTCATGAATATCTGTGTGTGTAGGCAAGACCGCAGAACAAGATACATTAAGTGGCTTTCTAGGAACCTAACATGGTTTTCGTCTTACCTTTCCTCCTATTCGGACCTGAGCTTGAAGCTTGGCTAGCTTTTCTTGATTCATGGTGCTGTATCTGAGGAATAAGGAGACCAGCCCTATTAGCACAATGTTAAGATTAAAAAATTAACTACACAAATAATCCCATGCTCATGAAGCGATAATGTATTTCAAAGGCATCCCGAAATAATATAGCAAAGCATCCTGAACGAATACAGACACGTTGTTTGTTTTTTTTAAATTATGTATCATTAGCAACAAAAACACCCGATAAGAACTTAAGGCAACATTCTGAGCCACACCATTGACCTGATACAGCCCGCAGAAAGAGGAGTCCCTTGCAACGAGCCTACCCCTCCGCTGCAAACTGACAGAAACCAGGAAATTCAACATTTCATCCCGAATCGAGTCTTCGTTCGCCCTCGTACCGATCTGCTGCTTCTCCCCTCACCCGCCCAAGCTAACAATTGACGGCACAGACCCGCCGACTGGCTTCTCGGTCCGCTTTATAAAACAGCACGCGTTTCCAAACAGATCGTCCTAAAGCGACTGCGCTCGGTTACAGAAAGAGGGAGATGAGGCAATTGCACAAGACGCCCGGTTGCCCACCAGCCTTGGAGCAAGGAGAGCCCAATGTCGGACTTAACCCTGACCAAAAACCCCCCTCCGACGGGGTGGGAAAAGCCTCCCGCACTTTCCCAGGCACTTTCCCGGGCGGTCATTTTGGGAGTCCTTTCGCTGGTCTGTGCCAGCACTACGTGTCAGGGTTTCCACGCCTGGCAACTTTCACGCGGGACAAAAGAGAGGAGCGGGCTCCCTGCAACGGAGGCGCAGGGGGGGAGCGTGCCCCACGGCAGAGGGGGGCAGTGGGGTCACCCCCCCACAGGGGCAGGAGGGAAGGGCACGGTTGGGGGGGGGGAGGGGGGGGGCCCCTTTCCCCCCCGGAAGGGCACGGTGGGGGGGGGGGCAGGATGAGGCCCCTTCTCCCACCCCAGGCTCAGGGCGGAGGGGACGCACCAGACCCCGGCCCTGAGGGGCTCTCGGCTGCGCCCCGAGGGCAGGGCCCGGACACACACATCCGCCCCCACCCCACAGCCCGCGGAGCAGGGCCCGGCCTGGTCGGGGACGAAGCGCCCGCGGAAGGGGGCGCGGCCGGGCCGCAGCAGGCGGGGGGGGGGGGGGGGCGGGCAC